ACACAGTCAGGGATTAGACCAGATAAATCTGTAAAATTCTTACTCTGAGGTTCTACAGGGCACACTCTGGCAGGAGCCTCCTCTCCATAACATCTCATAGTCGTTGACTCACCATAAAAAGATGAAACTGTAATCAAATGTTGATCTCCATCACCATTGTCACATCAGGCCAGAGTAATCACTTCTTCCACTGAACTCCCCTAGTGCTTATTGACTGTAACACCTTGGCAACTAACACAGACTTCCTGGTGGTGTTATTTATCTTCTTGTGGAACTGTCTACTCAACAGCTACACTCGATTAACTAAGAGATATTCCAAACTTAACTCATTAAAAAATCAAATTCCTGATTCTTATTCCTTATCCCTAATCTGCTCTTCCTGTAGTCTTACCCATTTCGGTAAATGGCAACTTTATTCTTCCAATTGCTAGATCAAAAACCTTAAGGTCATTTCTGACTATTCTTTCTTTCAGATCCTTAATGCAATCTATCAACTAAACTTGTCAGCTCTACCTTCAAAATATATCCAGGACCTGATCTTTCTTTGTCCCTTTCACTGCTATCACACTGCTCTGAACCACCTTCATCTTTCACCTGGATTACCATATAACAGGCTCCTAATCAGTCTCCTTGCTTCTACTCTTGCCCCTCTTCAGCCTAATCCACACAGTAGTCTGAGTAATCTTTTTATAAAATAAGTCATGTCATGTTACCCCTCCGCACAAAGTCTTCTACTGGTTTCCCATAATAGATTAAAGGCCAAATATCTGTACAATGACCTATAAGGTCCTGAGTTGTCTGGCCTCCCACTACTCCTCTGATGTTATCTCCTATCACCACCTTGCTCATTTTGATCTGGCCACGATGACCTTCTTACAGTTTTTCAATCACATCAAGTACACTGACACTTCAGGCCTCTGCACTTTCTGTTCCTTCTGTCTAGAACATTCTTTCCCAAGATATTTTGCCCTCTCACTTCCTTCAGTATCTCCTAAAATGTAATCTTATCAGAGAGGCCTTCCCTGACCACCTTTTATAAAGTACAAGTTTCCTCTCCACCCTACCCTGGCATTGTACTCTCTAGTCCCCTTACCCTCGTTCATCTTCTCCATAGCACTTATTGCTACTTGATATATTATATATTTACTTGTTTTTATTTTCTGCCTTCTCCCCTTGCAACAATACAAGTTCCATTAGGACAGAAACTCCATTTTGGTTCACTATATCTTTAATGCCTAGAGTACCGACATGTAATAAGCATTCAATAAATATTTGTGGAATAAATTAATTAATCTATCCTGTCCTTCCCCCTAATCTATATAAACTTCTTGTAGAAAGAAACTTTGCTATCTTCTTTGTGGTCTGAGCACCTAGCACTGTGTCCTGAACACAGCAAGTGTTCAAATAATGTTTCCTATAACTAGGACACAATCACAGCTCTGGAAATCTTCAGTTTGCACCAGATCCTGGTATTATAATGGTATTTCATGCTCCTCTTCTAAAGCTCCAAAGTTCTCTGATTCAAAACCTGTAGCATTATGGATGTCTTACGGCACTCTGATCAGGTAGATCAGATACTCAGAGTACAGAGCTAGTCATTTCATGGTCAGTTTGTTTTGCTATGTTCCATCATCCTTGCTCTGGCCTCCATTTCTAATTCTAGTGAGTTTTTCTTTTCTTTTTTTTTTAATAGATTTTTTTAAAGATAGATTGATTTTATTTATTTATTTATTTATTATTTATTTTTATTTATTTATTATTTATTTATTATTTATTTTTTATTATTTTTATTATTATTTATTTATTTATATTTATTTATTTATTTATTTATTTATTTGACAGAGAGAGAGACACAGCAAGAGAGGGGCTCGATCCCAGGACCCCGGGATCACGACCTGAGCCAAAGGCAGACGCTCAACGACTGAGCCACCCAGGCGCCCCTCTAGTGAGTTTTTCTGAAGCATTTGGCTATAAGAAGAATCAATCATAGACAGGAAAGAAAAACACTCTCTCTATTGCTGGACAACAAAGGATATGGCCTGATGGTCCGTAATATTATCATACAGGAAAGACAGCATCTATTACCCCATGACAGGACTGGTTTGTTTTTTGTTTTTTTGGGACAGGACTCTTTTGTTTTTTGTGGTGTTTTTTTTTTTTTATAGCAAAAATACCACTTTTCACTTCTGCAAAACTTTTTCAATAATACTGTTCAGTATTTACGAGGTAAAGATAATACCAGGAAGTGAGGCTCTCACGTTGCTGGTGGGATATAAATCGACCCAATTCTATAGGAAAGCAGTTTGGCAATGTTTCCAAAGTGATGGGGCTGTTTTTAAAAATCAAAAGTCCCTACCTCAATGAAAAGAACATTTATGAAACTGGTAGCTAAGACACAAGAAATTACAAGAGGCAAAACTCCAAGAGTGGAGATTTTTTTTCTCCAGCTTCATCAACTTTTAAAAAAATAATAAATCACATAGAATATTACTCATATCTCTAATTTTGGTTCTTAATCTAACACAGAAAAAAAGCCATCACAAAATGAAAAGATAAACAAATTTAATATAAAATATAAAATAAGATTACTATCCTCACTAGACTTTGTAGCAGCCAACTACACACAAACAGGAATAGGACAAATGCACCCCCCCCCCGAGGGTAAACAGAAGACCACATGTGATTGCCTATGGGTGCTCTTTGCTAATCCAAAAAAAAAGTTGGCAGACTGGTATCAAATAGTGAATGTTACAGAAACAGCATGGTAAAAGTAGATAATTCACAAACCCAGGAGTATAATTCTAATTTAGGTCACTAGTGTAAAGAAAACAACCCACAGTCTCCTCCACTGGCACAAACCCCAGACTCAAAACTAATTTGTCCTCTATTTCTGTACCATCAGCAACAACAAACACCTAATTTGTCCTTTCCCCCTATCTCCCTCTGGTGCCATCCACTCCATTTTCCCTCTTCTATTTAGTTTGTACTACAGACCTATTCAATCAGTTTTGGCATCCTCAGAATTTCAATTCGGTGAGAGGAAGTTGAGTCAACACTGGTCTATACCACCAGATGTATCCATGATTGAAGCAAAAGGGTACTTAAAAGGTTATTTCTTAGACTGTACTGATGCAGCAACATCAGTTCTAAGAGAGCTTAATCATGCCACCTCACCCCAGTACTCACAACTTTCCTTTCCCTACCTCAATCTGCCTTGGTTTCTGTGACCCGTTCTAGCTCTTCTGTGCAATCCTTCGCACATTAACGGTGTGAGAACAGTGAGAAAGGGATATCAAGTCCATGGCAATGGTGTGGATGGAGGTGGGGGGGAGGGAAAGTGTGAACCCTAATTCAGGGTCTCGCAGTAAACTGCTGTGCATCATATCTATGGCAATAACTTTCTTCTTAAGGATGCTTCTTCATTCCAGCCTACTGGCTATGTTTTACGTTATAAGCTCCTGTGTGGTTCAACTGACACAGACTGGAGTCAGAAAAGCAGATGGAATTCTTCTTACATAGGATGAAGTAATATAAGGAGTGCTAAGCAGAAGGATGGAGTGGTAGTTTCTCAGGGCCAGGGCACTCTGACAGCCCAGGACAACCAAATATCAATCATTTTTTAAATCCAGCATATGGGGAAGAAAAACATTCCACATTTACTTCTTTTCCTAAATACTCCCTCTTTATTCATTCCTGAGGCTTCTACGAACTATGATTATTTTGGGCTGAAGGTAAGAAAACTTAGACCTGGTTTGCTAAATGAATCTAGACTGCTTTAAATTGAAAGAGGGGAAGAAAGAGAGTTCTCTTTTCTAGGAGTGTACTTCAGTCACTCACCACTCTGAGTGAGCATAAATTAGATTGACTATCCTGTGGCTTTTGCAGGAAGACTACCTTTGGAAAACAAAACAAAACAGCAAAATAACTGGGTAGCCATCCCCTGCTCAAAAATAACTAAAATTATTTTTTATCACAATGGAGGAGGGCAAATCTGATATTAGTATCTGTGTGTCATTAGAGATGTTTTAAAAGAAAACTTCAGATAAAACCACAAAACTAAACATATATTTGACCCAGTACCACTACAGTGACTGAAGGATGACAGTCAAATACAGTTCTTTAAACTAGTGACCCTGAACCACCCATCCCCCTCCTGTAGAGGACAGCATGGTCTTTGAACCCAGACCTCCAGTCTTGAAGTTTCCCCTTCTTAAGGCGAAGAACGACCCTGCCAGAAAAAAGCCTGCACCAGCTCGAGCTCCAGACGATAGCTGGTCAGTGAGATGGAGCAACCTGGCTTCCTCTCTCTAGTCACTCTTTGCGGGTGGGGGTAGAGTAGGGGGAGAGATGAGATTGATGAACAGATGTCCGGGGCTCAAGAAACCTTCACATTCGACCCTTTCTCTCTCTCCCCCGTCAGGATGGAAGGTTAAGGCAGATAAGCCCAAAATCAAACGGAGAAGTAGATTTTGCATAGGGGGAAATGGATTTAACAAAATCATCTGGGATGGTGACTGCCAAGAAACAGCCCCCCCCCCCGCCTTTCCCACTTCTTCCTCTCCTTCCCACACCCATTAGGAGTCACCTCTGTCTGGGTCACTGGACCCGCCAAGCAGCCTGGCTAGGCGAGGCTCAATCATGCAATCAAATTCGGTACTACGAGTAAAAATAACGGGAAGGAAAGGCGATCAGAGGGCCAGACGGCAGGGCAGGGTCTCCTACTTGAGAGGACAGAGGCACGAAGGGAAGAGGCAGAGCGGAAGACAGCGCGAGCTGGTAAAGCTACGACGGAATCCCAGGGAAAGCGAAGCAGGGAGATGCTGGATGGAGAGGAATTCAAAACAGCAATAGCGAGACAGCGGCAGGAGGGGGCGGGAGCAGGGGCCTGGCCGGTGACTCAGTGAAAGCGGCCAACGGCCGGCTCCGGGAGCCGCACGGCGCGAAGGTTACCGGCCACCGCGCGCGGGCATCCCGAGGAGGGCGCGGCCGCGGGGGCTCACCGTGTCCTTGGACGAGCCCAGCTTCTTGAGGCCGTCCAAGGGCAGCAGGTCGGCGGAGTCCTTATGAATGAACTGCACGGCCTGTTTCATCCGGCGCTGCTGTCGCAGCGACGCCGCTTCCCGCATGTCCGTCTCCTTGCGGCCGCCCTCGCTGAGGAGCCCTGAGTAAAACATCGCTGAAGCGCCCGCGGCCCAGCGTCCCCAGTCGCTCCCCGCTAGCCGGCCTCCCTCAGCCTCGAGCTCCTCCAGCTCCGCGAGAGCCGCGCGCCGAGCATTTTATAGCCGAGCGTGACGTCACGGGGAGCAGCCAGTGTGCGCGCGGAGGGGCGGGGCCAGCACAGCGCCCCCACCGAGCGCGCGGCTCCCCGGCGTTCGCGGCCGCTGTGGGTCTCCGCGCCGCCTCCGTGAAGGGAAGGACCCGCAGAGGGGTGACGCTGGCTGGACTGACTCAGAGCGCCGAGCGTCTACCAGGACTGCTTTACCCAACCGCCGTTTACCAGGACCGCTTTACCCAACCGCCCTCTCCCGTTGTGGGTGCCCTGCATCCCCTGAGCCGGGATAGGGTGTGGGTGGCCCCACGGTGGAGCAGCCTCTCCCACCCCAGCCGCCGCCCCCGACTCACACTCACCTGGCCACGCCGTGGCCGACCCCGGGATCACCGCCAGCTGCGCCATGCCCCAAATCCCTCCCTCCGCGCAGTTGCTCGGCTGCGCAAACTTCCACCTCCGCGCCCCTCCGGGAGCCCCAGCGTCCACAGCGCACTTCAGCGTTGGGAAGGCTCAGGATTTCTGCAACTTCATGTCGGTCCCCACCCACCAGACCACGTGACTGGGGAGGGGGCAGCCCCTGAGGGCGGGCTGGAGCCGGCTTTCCGGGGACCCCACCACCACCACCACCACTACCACCACCACCACCACTGCCCTGGCTCTTGGCACCCTCTCTCCGAGGGGCCCTGCATCCGCCCTTCGACCGGGGCCGCAGGGGCGGCTGGAAACCTGCGGGTCAGCTGGAAACCTGCGGGTCAGCCTAGGGCTGAGGAGTGGCGATGGTCCCCGCCTCGCGTGCCCCACACCTGCTCTTCGGAACACCGGGCAGAAAAGCACCTTTTTCAAAGCCAAAAACTCGGGGTAACCGTTGGGGAGAGTCTTTCACTCTCCTCTCCGGCATGTTTCCAGGAGCAACGGGAATCCAGTTTACCTTTGAGTCCTTCCTACTCTCTGAAGCCATTCTTTAAAAAATAATAATAGACTTTAATTTTTTATTTAAATTAAATTTTAAAAAATTTTTAAAGATTTTATTTATTAGAGAGAGAGAGGGAGAAGCACACTCCCCACTGAGCAGGGAGCCAGATGTGGGACTTGATGCCAGGACCCTGAGATCATGATCTGAGCGGAAGGCAGCCACTTAACCCACTGAGCCACCCAGCCGCCCTATTTAAATTCAATTTAGTTCACATATAGTATAGTATTAGTTTAAGGGGTAGAATTTAGTGATTCATCAGTTGTATATAACACCCAGTGCTCATTACATCAAGTGTGCTCCTTAATGCCCATCACCCAATTACCCCATCCCCCCACCCACTTCCCCTCCAGCGACCCTGTTTGTTTCCTGTAGTTAAGAGTCTCTTATGGTTTGCCTCCCTCTCTGTTTTCACCCTATTTTTCCTTCCCTTCCTCCGTGTTCATCTGTTTTTATTTCTTAAGTTCCACATGAGTAAAATCATATGGTATTTGTCTTTCTCTGACTAATTTTGCTTAGCATAATACTCTCTAGTTCCATCAACATGGTTGCAAGTGGCAAGATTTCATTCTTTTCAACAGCTGAGTAATATTTCATTGTATATATACAGCATATCTTCTTTATCCATTAATCTGTGGGTGGACATCTGGGCTTTTTCCATATTTTGACTATTGTGGACATTGCTGTTATAAATATTGGGGTGCATGTACCCTTTTGAATCATTATTTTTGTATTCTTTGGATAAATACCTAGTAGTGCAATTGCTGGGTCCATGGTAGTTCTATTTTTAACTTTTTGAGGAACCTCCAAACTGTTTTCCAGAGTGACTGTACCAGTTTGCATTTAAGCCATTCTAATGGGTCCTTCTGGCTTCCTGGCTTCTGGCCTCTATGTTGTGACAATGTAAACCACATTTCCACCGCCACTGCCGTCTCCTACCCTGTCTCACAGGAGGAGACAGGAAGCAGAAAGATCCACTCTCCGAAAAGAACCAACAAAACTAGCAATAATGACATTTACTGAGCCTTTACTATGTGTCACATACTGGCATAAACACTTAAAATGCCATATTTCATTGAATCCTGGCAATAGCTTATGAGATAGTATTATCCAATATCCCCATTTTACCTGCGAATACCTGAGACCTCCTAACTGGTCTCCTGAATGTTCCTTGGTTCCCTTCCAATCCATTGTTCTTTGTGGCCAGAGTAAACTTTTCAAACTACAAGTGTGATCATCTCATCTCTCAGTTTAGAGCACCACAAAAAACTTCGCATTGCCCTTAAGACCCACATTCTTGCATGGTCTCTCCCCGCTTGGCTCTCCAGTCTGTACATCAGCCTCATGAGCCTTCTTCCAGTCCCTTGGGGGACCCATTCTTGCCAAATGGCCTACCTTGAATATCCTGTTCTCTTTGAATGGAATGTCCCTTCTAACCTGTTCAGCAAACAGACCTCAGCACCATTATCATTTACTTAGGAAAGCCTTCTCTGACCTCCCAGAGTGGGTGAATTATCCCTCAACATACGTTCTGCAACTCTCCTGGACGGTCCACTTTTTTTTGGTGGTAATTGTGGGGGTGTTATCGGTTGTTTGATTAATATTTATCTCCTTCAGTAATTGTAAGCTCTAAGAAGGCAACTGAGTCTTATTTTTGGCTTACCATTAAATCCTTAGCACAGCACATATAAGGTGGTCAATAAATACTAGCGTAAGCATGGCAAGAAGTTAAGGCCTTGCCCAAGGAAGGCAAGTGGTACAGCTGGAATTTTAAACCCAGACTATCTGCCCCTAGAACCTGTGCTGGACTTCCCAGACCTGGAAGGACTGGGTTTCACCTCATGAACCTGCTCCTTGCCCTCCATTCCTGTCTTCAGCGCTTGCCCTAGATTCACAGCTCACAGACTGCTTGTGGGAAAATAAATCCAGAAGGCCAGAAGGCTGCTCTCCTGGCTTCAAGAAAGCCCCCAACCCCCAGTCCCATTCATGGAGGGCAGGATCTCTTGGAGAGAGGGTCAAGAAGGAGGTGGGATTGCAGTTCACCTTCCAGTCCCTTAGCACGCTTCCAGCAGTGAACAACAGTGGCTGCCCTGGCCCCTTTTGTCCTGTTGCCTGGCTTCCTGCCTGGTCACTCCTCCAGGCATGAGTTGCCCAGGGAACAGTGAAAGACAGCCTTGCCTTGTCTCTCTAGGACAGGTACCTCTGAGCTCGGCAACGCATCAAGGCGGGCCCAACAGCTAGAGCCCCTGGGGCTTACGCTGGAACAGCTATTTTCCTCTGGGAGGAAGCCAGGCAGGCAGATTCCAGCTCCCCACTCCAAAGGTAATTCAGCTCAGTCTTGCAGCCTTTTTCCTGAGGATGACCCAATGGAAGAAAGGGGCTCTTTTTATAGCAAGTTCCCCCCCTCCCTCTGGGGGGGGAAAGCTGAATGTCTCTGATGGAACTGAATTTGTCCATATCAAGTGTTGCTGAAAAGTAAACAGGGCTTTGACTGGAGCTAGGGATCTTTTTGTGAATGCAGAGCTCTTTGCTATCGTGGGATTTGTGTTCTGCAATTGGATCTCTGGCCAAATCACAATTGGTCCCCTAATCTCCTAGAGATTTTTGTCAGCCAGACTGATATCACTGCTCTTAAGCATGGGTCCATGTGGTGAGGCTAGCCAGCATCTACACTATGAGTTCCTGCAAACTCCAGCCTGGCTGCTCCATTTGGGGAGCATCACCTCTGCTCAGTTTATCCAGTTTGCCCAAGTAACATGAGAAAGTCACTTCCTGCCTCTAAGCCTCAGCTTTCATATCTATAAAATGGATGCCATGAGGTTGCATATAAAATTGGGCTTTGTGAACTCTGGAGGGCTTTACCATCAGAAAAGATCATTAATTCTCCACATAGCCAACCTTCCCTGCCCTGTTGACCTATCTTGGAAGAAGTATAGTATAGTTGTTAAAAGCACAGGTTTTGGAGTTTGACACACTAGGCCTGAGTCCCTGCTCTGCCACTGACCAACTATGGGACTAGTAAGTTTACTTCACCACTGTGTTTTCGTTCCTCATCTAGAAAGTGATGCCAGTAACATATCTACCTCTTAGGGCTGCTGTGAGGATTAAATAATACACATAACACATGGTAGCACATAGTAAGGGCTCAGCCGAAGGTAGCTACCATCATCAGCCCTTGAGACAGACTTGGGAGAACCTGTAGTTTGCTGAGTCTCAGAGTGGGCCCTGGCCTATGCCTGCTCCAAGCCTTTCTACAAAACTCCAGGAAATGCGAGTCAGACCTGAGCATCTTACACCATCTCTGGAGTCAAGGCCTCCCAAGACAGGGGTTGGCCAGCTCTCTTCCTGTCCCTGGTGCCTCTGGATTCTGAATTTACCATGTCATGTGGTTTCTGTACTAAAGTTCTCTACATCCTGCCTTGTCTGTTGTAGACGATCAGTCCTTGAAAATTGTTCTAGACAAGCTGATGCTGTTTCAATCAGGATTTTATTTGTGTTGTTCGTATAAGTGACAGGAGCCCTGTTGAAAATTTCTTAAACAGAAGTGTCAACTTTTTGGTCCCCTTATCTAAAAGTGCAGGGACTTCAGGCATGGCTGAATCCAGGGGCTCAAATGACCTTATCACTGTAGGCACTGAGGTGATGCCACTGTAGGCAGGCTCTTCCAATCTCTTGGCAGTCAGCAGCTCCCAGCTTACAATTTCTTCTCCCAGCACCCCTCCTTTGGGTCTTCAGCTAACAGGGAGACCTTTGAGAATGGGATACAGGATGAGTGCTGGGGCCAGGAGGCCCGGAGAATAGATGAGAAGAGCAGAAGGGAAGAGAGCTTGCCAAGGAGTTCTTATTCTCCTTTCCACCCACACATATTTTGCTCTGACTTTGCCCTTGGGCACCCTTGGAAGTAATGGCCCTGCCCAGATCCCCCTTTGCTCACCACCCCCATCCTTACAGCTGCAGAGTCTGCTTTCTTCTCTGGTGCCCTCCCCACCACCTCATCTCCCTCTGT